AATAATAATATCTATCTATCTATCTGTGGCTCTACAGCCCTTTCTTAGATCTTGGCCGCTTTTTCAATTTCATGATCTTGTACACAGTCGGTAGGATCCTTGGGCGGGGGATCAGCTCGTCGCAAGGTTACTACCTGCAAACAGAACTGCAGAACCCACGATCCCAGTGTTCGAGCGGAAGAAGACAGTTCATGCCTTAGACCGCGCGGCCACTGGGATCGGCTGGAAGAGAAACACAATATATAAAAATGTATGTTACTCACCAGCAGAAAGCAGAGCTCAGGAGCCTTCTTAATAATATTTTTGACTGAAATATCCGCATCAGAGACCCGTTTCTTGAATTCTTATCTTTCTGTGGGTTCCCCTGTGTAAAGAAATACGATTTTATTCTTCAGAATTAAGTTTGCATAATGTTCTTTGTTCATATTCCGCAGGTTTCTGAGTTTGAACAAAATGTCTGCAAATCTTACAGGCCTCCCCGACACAAAAGACTAAAAACAGATGATATTCATTTACAAAACGATGTAGAGTATAGACAACTACTAAAATCTTTTAATGCTACAGACTTTAAGGGAGACTCGAGTTTGGATCAATTTTTATATTTCGAGAACCAACATCGTCTCGTGCCTCAGTTTACTAAGAACGAGCTATACCGCAGCCGCGGAAAGAAGACCCATGGTTGGTGGGGTGTGAGAACGCTGGAGAATGCTTCTTCTCTTTCTACTGTTGTATTCCTCTCCAACCAAAACAGCTTGTCACTAGCCACATGTGAAACGTGAATTTATACAGAATGTTCCAGGAAAAAAGTTCAATATTCTGGGAGGTCATAGTAGCGGTCACTCTAAGTATATGTACGTGTGTTCATTCCAAACGCTTTCCAGGACAGAGCTATGGATGTTACCGGCCACGGCTCTGGGGCCCACCCAGCCTTCTATTCAATGGGTACCGTGGCCTCTTTCTCCGGCGGTAAAGCGGCCGGGGGGTGAAGCTGACAACTCACCTCAAACTAGTGCCGAGGTCAAGAAAATGTGGATCTATATATCCACTCCCCCATACGCCTTCATGGCGTAGTGCTTAATTAGTTAAAACAGGGACAACTTTACCTTTTTACCTTACAGTGAAATGTCTCTATCTCGGAAACCGTTCGGAATAAGACACGGCCGATACTATGACGTCCTAGAATATTGATCTTTCTTCCTGGGGCATCCTTTATAGCCTAGGAACAAGTTTCATTTACTAATCTAGAATTATATAATTTCATCATCATCATCAGTAATCTGTCAAGACGACACGTCCACAGTCTCTTTCAAAACAATTCCTCCACTTAATGCGATCTAGAGCTTTCTCCTTCAAATGACAGTATCCTCTTCTGTCCCCAAGGTCATCCAGCATCTTCTTATGTCTTCTTCCTCGTCTTCTTGTCACTTCTATCCGCC